CTACATTTTCCTTAATCTTCTCTAGCATTCTATCTTACTCATTTAACTTTTGAAGAATGGTTAATAACATATCTTGGATTTGTTGACTTTCAACCCCCATAGATCTTCCTTGCTCAATAGGTGATCCACGTTTGCGCTTTTCTTTGGACATCACTTCCAGCTCCTCGACCTCTTGGGTCAAGTTATCCATCTGACCCAGAAAAATGATCAATTGCTGGTTTTTCTTAGTATCCTTATTGGTTTTAGCCACAAGGTCAAGGAATTTGGCTACGGTTTTATAAGAATATTTATCACGACCACCTGGCATGAGTCAGTCGATTATCCCTCCGTTTTCGGGATTCAGACTCCTGTAGAAGCATTCCAGTAGAACTAAATCAGGGATTTCATGAGTTGGGCATTCTATCAATAGTGTTTTAAACCTCAGCCACGATTCATGCAAAGGTTCTCCTTCTAGATATTTGAAGTTCAAGATGTGATCCTTGAATCTCATCACTTCTTCTAGGAGGTGCTCCGTTGGTCGACCATCACCATGATGTATTCTCATTATCCTGTCTCAACACACAAACAACTAGACAAAACTAAGGATTAGGTAAGTAGATTACAACTAAGAAGAACAAAAATTCTACTAATCTAAAAATTCTCAAATAACACCACTCCCCGGAAGCGGCGACATTTTGATGCTTATCGTGACCAATGACACTAACCTACGGTATGAGTGTCTACGATTGTAGACAATATAGTAACCCAACTAAAGGTTGGGGTCCTGTCCCAAGGGAGTGGTTTTGAGAATTGATAGAAAAATAAATTTAGCGTTAACTAGTCGTAGGTAAAGACATTAATGATTAAAAACGTAGTAAATTAAAAGGGGTGACACAAAAGTGTCAAATATCGATTTGGGGGTTTTGTCACAAGTAGTAAAAAGAACAAAAATTAACAAGAAAATCAAGTATGGGGAAATGTTCTTGAGGTGTGACCGCAATACAAGTTGAGATAAATCATTGGGTGCATACTTTCAATAGGAAATTTGCAAGATAATAGTGACTAGGCTAAGCCTTAGATGGATATAAGTTCCCTCTCGGGCAACTTACCCCATTTCAAATGGGTTCCTCTCGAACACCAATTTGTCGTATGAAGACCAACCTACACCTTACCCCA